GAAACACAACAAAACTGAAGTCCCAACATAGACATCATCCTTATGCTTTAGATTCCAAAAAATGAGCCACTAAATTAAATCTAAAAATCCAACCAATTCTGGTCCAAAGCTCGCCATTTTTCATGCACACACCAAAATTAGAATAATGTATTTATCATGAAGTACATTACGATGCTCCCCATGCATCAGAGTAATGAGTTCAACTTTTAAACTATTACTATGAAAATAATTCAGCAATATGACAATTATCAAATCAAACAAGAATTTTACAAAAACTTAAAGTACGGAGGAGATGAGAAAAAGGATAGCATCCATCTATCTCTCAAATCTCCGACTGATATTCACCTCAATGTGGGCTGAAAACTGAGTTTGCCACCCATCAGGATAACACAAAAATGATTTCATTTTATTAGGAAAAATGGGAGAGATTGAAGTACAGTGTGGTAAATAATGAATCTTTTAGCTTCATATACATTTCCAGTGGCCATATATCAATGCAAACCAATATGTGGAACATCCTTATCCTCAACCAACCAACAATAAAATATAGTAATTCAAACAAGCATTACATATACAAGAATCTTATTGTTCTGATTCTTAAAAGCTGAAACACTCAACATAAAACAGCAAAACCATCAATATATGTATGTACGAATCACCAAAGAACTATTGTTAATCAAGAAAGGACTTGAATCGAATAAAAAATATATTTGATTCAACTTTAATTGGACTGTATTGGAAAAAGAGCAAAAAAAGGTTTTTTTTTTTTCTCTTTAATGGAAACAATGCAGTAATATACCTCAGATGAGGAGGAATCGAGCTCATCTAAAAACATCCATTAATAATTTCCAGAAATTGCTACATGTCCAACAACCCTATCAGTCCAAATGAAAATATTCAACAAGATACATGAAAAATATACACATATAGCATGAGAACTTTAAGTTTCAACCACAATATACAGACCACATCAAATCCCATATAAGTGTACATCATTTTCTTGCGGTCTGTTAGCACATTCTAGATGGATAATTTTGACAGATGATTGTATCAATTTAATTTTGATGTTAAAACAAAAGGTTCCAAATCAGGAAGGGCATCACCCCTACCTTCCCAATAAAACCACGGAAGAATTTATAATGAGGTTAACTCAAGTTAATAAAGAGGATAGGATATATAACCGCATTGTCTCAGATAAGGTAAATTGTCAAAGAATTTATGGTTCTTGCATCATTTCTCTTAATTTAGAATTCATATCAAGCATGTCGTGAAACTGAGGATCGAGGCCAAGGATGTATAATAAAATACGTCACTTCATCATAACTTAAATGAAAAATATTTAACCAAAGGCCCAAAACTATATTTGTACCTGTTCCATGTACCGAGGATTGGAAAGCAGGCTCTGTGTGATTTGCGCCACAATTGGATTTTGCAACAACCGACAAAATGCAGCAGGAACAGATCCAACTGCAAATTGACATATCGATAAGCTCAGAAATATTTTCAAGGCAGAAAGTACACAACATGCTCATCTTTTTCATTTATTATTTAGCCGAGAAAAATGTATATCTAAGAGTTAATATGTTTTACTTAATATATCTTTTTCATTTCTTTTAAGATAATATGTTTTACTTAATATTATCTTTCACTCGTTGAGATAAGACCGAACAATTTTCCATCCCTGAATGCATATTAAAGTGGTGGCATTGTTGGGAATGGAGAGTCTCTCTGGTTATTGTAGAACCAATGTATAGCCCTGAGCCGATCTCGAGAGGCGAGCACATTGTTATTTGCTGCAATTTCTTGAATCTCTCGATAATGGGCTGGGAGTAGACCGGGGGAAGGATTATCTCTCACTTGGTACACCTGGTTCATGTTAAGCCCCTGAACAGCAGGTGGGATCGGAGAAGGATGCCCCGAAAGTTGCTTCGCCAACAAATGGTAGTGAGCCATGAGGTTGGATTTGATTTGTCCATTCGCCAATCTCGTTGTTTACACTCTCATTGATGAGTTCACCATGCGGCGAATCTGAGCTACATCCTGCTGAAGTTGTTGATTATGTGCTTCTTGAATCTGGAGTTGGCTATTGTACGTTTAGCTCATTACCAACTCCAGATTCAAGAAGCACAAAATCAACAACTTCAGTAGCTCAGATTCGCCGTATGGTAGACTCACCAATGAAAGTGCAAACAGCCGGATTGGTGAATCGGCAAATCAAATCCAACCCCATGGCTCACTACCATTTATTGTCGAAGCAACTTTCGGGACATCCTTCTCCGAACCCACCTGTTGTTCAGGGGGCTAGGTGCTAGGGGCTTAACATGAACGAGGTGTACCAAGTAGGAGATAATCCTACTGCCGGTCTATCTACTCCCAGCCCATTATCGAGAGATTCAAAAAATTGCAACAATGTGCTCGCCTCTCGAGATAGGCTTAAGGCTATCTATACATTGATTCTACAATAACCAGAGGCTCTCCATTCCCAACAATGTCACCGCTTTAAGATGCATTCAGGGATGGAAAGTCATTCGGTCTTATCTCAACGAGAGAAATGTAATATTAAACTCTTATGTATATTAAGTAAAACATATTAACTTATAAGAAATGAAAAATATATATTAAATAAAACATATTAACTCTCAGATATACATTTTCTCGGCTAAATAAGAAATGAAAAAGATGAGCATGTTGTGTACTTTCTGCTTTGAAAATATTTCTGAACTTATTGACATGTCAATTTGTGTTGGGCTGAATTATCATGTTAAAATATGTTGATATATGAGATTAATGTATGAAACTGCGATTAATGTATGAAAGTGCGGGACACCAATACCTCTAATCCAACACTTGAAGGTGATCTCGCATTGCTACTCGTATTAGTTCTTCTAGTATTATTTGTTTGAGGACCTCCTAAAACATTACAAAAGCACAAACTCAACCATAAAAATATATATATATATATATATATATATCCATAGAAGAAGATAATTAAGTATAGCGATAGAGCAGAGAACAATGAGATATTTAAATCTCATCAAACTCCCCACGCAGCACCAGCCTCAAAGCGTTCTGGATCCCGCGTGAGGGAACCGTCCGCTTTTTGCCATGGGTGAAGGAGCTGGCGTAGTTCCCGTGGGTGTTCTTGATGGGAGTAGCTTCAGCAGGACTGTCGTCTGCCACGCGGGGCTAAGTTGGGCAATCGGTAGATTAAATCAAAATAAAAATTTCACGTCTTTAATGAAGAATACAACAGCCAAATAAAAATTTAACATTTTTAATGAAGAAATGTGGCTCGAAAGCTTAGCTAGATTTAAGAAAAAAAAATGTAAAAATAGTAATGAAAGCTAGAAAGGAAAAAAACTCAAACCTTTGACGAAGAAGTCGCCCAATTATAGTCCAACATCGTCAACACGCTGCAGCCGGATTGGGCCAAGCCGCCCACCATACCTCTAGTCGACACTGTTCAGCAGGGCTATCCATCGCTTGTCCCGACGCCACCAATCACGTCTGACAACCTCCACTGCTTGCGAGCCAAGCACAACGGATGGCACCCTGGATACATTCTCCTATTTGGAGACAACATGAATTTGATTGATGATAAGTAAAAACTATCAAATAAAAAAACAAAGGAAAAAAAGTAGGGGATTTAAATGACCAAAAGAGCTAAGGAAACAAAAAACAGATAGCAGGTGGAAAATTCTTCTATCGATATACCTTATAGTTTCTCACAATCCACACGCGCTGAGCAAATGCAGACTGGTAATTGATATACAACCTTCACATGTTAAAATCAAAAACCCTAATTAGACTCCACAACGTCCAAAAAGATGATACAATCGAATATAAGATGGGAAGAGAAGTTGAAGTTATACCCTTCAAAACAATTGAAAACAGAAATGATAATATTGATTTGCTATTATCACATAAATAGTTCACAATTTTTTTGGCAAATTCCAACACAGCCGACCAAGCGAGTCAACCCAATCAGAAACCCCACCAACAAAATACAGCACCCGTCGCGGGACTCCGACCTGCGGCCTCTTGCCGCCATCAAGGTATGCTCCTCATCACCGCGCTTTCCCCCTCCGACAATCCTTCTCGCCACCGAAACAACAAAAGCCAACGCCCAATGCAAGATCGGTATCGTCGTCAACCTCAAAATAAATAAATATAAAAAAAAGATCGAATTCCTAAGTTAATTACAAAAACATACTCGAAGGCGAGTAAGAGCAGGGAATCGGCAAGAGGAGGCGACAAACGGTCAAGAGTCCGCCATTGTCTCTTCTCGACGGGGTCGCCACTCTAAATCGGCGGGTAGATGCACGTGTTCTGAACGTTTCCGTAGGGACACAAATCAAGCGGCGTGAGGAGAAAATGAACATCTGTGTCGGTTTAGGGTTTGGAAGAGATCATTTTTTTTTTTCGGTAGCTTTTGCCTTCAATTTCGGCGTTTCCCAAAATGAGGAAATCTATATCTATATCTATATATATATATATATATCTATACTTATATTAAAGGGGGTACTATTTATCAAATTAAGTAGCCATAAAAGTCAACAGCATTTATTGCATTACTATTTCTGTATTATACTATATAAAAGGATATTCTATTTACTACATTTATTATCCAGAAGAGTCAACTGCATTAAATGTCATTACTATTTTGGTATTATAATATTTTATTTATTTAATTGATTTATTTATTTGTTTTATTTTAAAAAGGTAAGTACAATAAAAAGATTTTAATAATAAAAAAATTAAATACCAAATAAAAATAAACACTTTGACTTATTTGATTATATTTGGTATTTGATTATACCAAATATATTCCTATTTAGTATATACATTAAATACTTACTAAAGTATTTATTTGTTTTATTTGTCAAAGTTAAGTATAGATTTGTTTATATTATCAAATCATAAAAAATATTAAATCCATATTGTAAAAAAAATTCATATAATTTTATAACAATTCTACTACACTATTTAACAATATTCTGTTTTTATTATATAATAAAATAATAATTAAATATTATATGGTGAACAACAATAAGTAAAACTGTTACTTTCTCTTATATCAAGGGATAAATTTATATGCTAAAATTAAATTTTTATTAGTATAAATGTTTTAGTGAGATAATATATTAATTATTTTACAAGCTAGCCCTAACATGCTCATATTTAATGTTTTAAAAGATGTAGAAAAAAAACTTATAATAACTCTATTGTTTTTTAGACTTAAACGTTGATTAAAAGAGGTAAAAATTCCTAATTTTTTAGACTTAAACGTTGATTAACACCATAGATTGAGAGTTTATATTTAGTAAAATTCCTAATTGTAATAAAAAAATTAATTTTTGCTATATTTTAGAATATCTTTAAATTCATTATAAAAAAAAAAAACTACAATGAAAAAAACAAGTCAACTATATATCGATTTGTTGTACTCCTCAAATCACATTCACAATTTGGCTACAAGGAAATGAAACTCATTGATTAAAATATTATTTTGTCAGTAGTCTTAATGTACAAGAGACTTTAAGACTCCACTTGAATATTATAAAATTTTTATTGAACATCGTACAATTTCTTGCGTATTATAAACTTTTATTGAATATTGCATCTTATAATATATATTCTCCAAATAAATATATCTCGCGGGTCACGTACATTTTTCTTTATTCATGTATATAATTATAAGTCTGGATAAATAGCCTTAAAATTATGCACCCCGTGCATCGCACGGCTCTGTACTAGTATATATAATAAGAATTACCATTTACTAAAAATAGTAGCTAAAAATTTAAGAAACATTTAATGCATAACCATTTTTGGAAACTCTTTAAAAATATACGCATTAATTGTTTCTATATCTACGTTTTCAAATAAGATCAAATAAGATATGATTAAAAAGTTACGTAAATAAATTTATTAACTTTTTAAATATATGCATTAATTGTTTCTATATACACGTTGTCAAATAAGATCAAATAAAATATGATCAAAAAATTACTTAAATAAATGCATTAATATCTGAATTATTTTCATTTATATTTATTATAATAAATTACTTGACTTTCCGTGATTCATATTGATAATAATTTGGTCAAGATAAATATTATTCTATTAATATTTGTAATACTTTCATTGATATTCATTATAATAAATTAAAAGACTAATTTCCATGATCTATATTGATAATATTTTGGTCAAAATAAATATTACACCATATTTTAAGTTATAACCATAATATTAATTTTTTTCACAAATATTCACTTTGTATCCAATAATATTTATGGAAATCGTAACAGGTTAGGTAGAATTTTTTTCCAAGTAATAAGACAAAATCAAGTTGGTGAATTAATATTTGCCAATATATTTTTTTCTTAAGCTTTATTTTGTTAAATATGAAAAACAAATTGTTCTTCAAATTAATATAATTTACCATTACGAGATAATGACCAGATACATTAAATAGTTTCACTAATTATAAAAAATTAAAATTAAAATATATTAACTATTTTTTAGAATTTATTTGTATATTATTGGCGCCCATGATTATTTTTTTTTTGTTTTTTTATTTTGATTTATTTCTATAATTGAATTCTTATAAAATATATTTTCATTGCCGAGAATGATAAATAAACTATAAATGCTTATAATGCGAATTAGAAAAATCTTGATCATAGAAAGGATTGAGTTTTTGGCATATTCTAAATCAAATGTGTTTAATTAGTATACAAAATTGAATTCTAAAAAAACATGTGTATATTTTGTAAAATATTTATACACTATTTAATTTTAAACTAATTACATAAATAAATAATACTAACATGCATTAATTATTTTTCATTACATAAAAATAAAAAGAAAAGAAGACGTACAATTTCTATAACTTTATAAATAATAATGACATTATATGACAACAAAGTCTATAATAAAATAATAAGTATTATATGGTGAAGAAGAATAAGTAAAATTATTATTTTCTCTTATATCAAGGAATAAATATATATACTAAAATCAAATTTATATTAGTATAAATGTGATAGTGAGATAATATATTAAGTATTTTACAAGCTAGCCCTAACATGCTCATATTTAATGTTTTGACTAAAAAAACAACGCTGATTAAAGGAGGTGCAAAATAGATTGTAATCTTATTGTTTATTACACTTAACGTTGATTAAAAGAGGTGGAAAATAGATGATAACTCTCTTGCTTTATATACTTAAACGGACAAAGCCTGTGAAAATAACTAATTTAATATTTCTGTCCTGTGCATCGCACGGGGTGCGTACTAGTGGGATAGAAATCATGTCTGCTTTTGACGTGATTGTTGCGTGGTCTTCTGCACTAAGAAAATAAATTTACAATGACCACATCCAACCCTAAAAAGTAGAATAAAATGGGACATTTTCGTCAACCGTCCTTTATTCCGATCGACACGGCGTCGTTTGGTTATACACATTAAAAAAAAATAAAATATTATGTTTTTTTTTTTTTTTCACAACAATCTAGATTTTCATCTATATCTCTACTATCTCTACTATCTATATATGAAGATTTTCATCTATATCTCTACTATCTCTACTATCTATATATGAAGAAGTCAGTGTTGTTTATACGGCGACATGTGTCCATTAATAGTGCCTTTAGGAGTATCACCTCAAAAGACCAAATCACTATAATCTCTCCCACACTCAAATCTCAGTCAACTCAGAAATCCAATTTCTCTCCTTTTCTTACACAAAGCACCCACTTTTACGCAAGCTCCCGACGCCAACGATCGCGTGGCGGACAGAACGGAGCGACGGCGTGGCTATACGGGTCGGCTGAAGAAGATAAGTTAAAGGAGAGAAATCAGATTAGTTGATTGCGGCGTGGCACCCACGATTACTTTTTCATCTTTTCTGCTTCCGGATGCTCATGACCTCTCATTTCAATCTCCTCCTGATACCTTCTACCATTCCAAGTTGCCGACCTTCTAAAAATTAGGCCTTTTCATTTCGTTAAGGGAGGAGAAGGCCACCGTTCATCGCTTAGTGAGGAGACGGGAGATCGGGGAATCTTAGATATCGAAGTCCTCCGCTAAGCTGTAAATGCGCATCTCATCCACGTCGGCGCCAGAGAATGAGGCGTCGCCTGTAAATTTGAGGGATTCCGGCTGGGAGAACACGGGTAATTCCTGCAGCGATGCATCCTCCTACCCGAGGATCGAGTGAAGTAGCATATAGAGTATCGAATTTGCAGAGCCGAAAGTACATTTTTTTTTTGTTTTTTTTTTATAATATTTAGGTTTGTAATTTTTTTTTTTTATCGAATTTTGGTTTCTCAGGTTTTTTGTGTGCACAAATATGCTATACCAGTAAATTTTTTTTTTAATAATCAGATTCCGGCCACCGCTGGTCTCTGTTGGAAAGTACGAGTACCTCCAGCCCCTGAGCCTGTCCATGATCCCCCAGAACGCAGCAGTCGAGCTACTGGACCAGTTCACAGAGCCACGTCGTCCAACCATCAGTGTCGGATGGTCGCACCCCTTTGAACACAAAGACGGTCGTTGACCCCGAGTGACAGGGAGACCCATCGGCAGTACCGGGAAAGACGGTCGAGGTGGCTTAGCAAAGGCGCGAAATTGAAATTTGTCGTTTCCAACAACTGAGACATAGTTTTCACCAGGAGTCTACGAGTTCGGACATATACGAGAAGATTCAAAAGCCTGTCCCTGGACTTGTGAGGTTGATGTGTTAATTTCAGCCCTGTGTGCAGTAAGTTCTTTAGGTTGGTTTTAGAGTCTGGTTTTATTGAATAGAGGGAAAACCGATACCGACCGAGCTCATAAACGATGAGGGGGCGCTCCGCTGGGAAATTGACCTCAGAAGATGAAACTACTTTTCGTACTGCTCCGTACTGACTTTGTTTAGTGCAAATTTGGATTGCAACTGGTTTTTATTTTATTTCATTTTCAATTTTATTTGTTCAATTTAATTTTGTTTCTCTCCGTCATGTTTTTTGTTTGAGATCAAACTTGGGATTGTGGTGTTTGTTAGTGAATTTAATGGGTGATGTGAGGATGATGATTGGGGTATCAGGCGTTTTTGTTTGTAGGTTGCTTAGTAGATGGAATAATTGATGAAGTTCACCTGTTGGGTTAAGTTACAACATTTCTGCGTTTAACATTGAGCTGACTTGTTTGCTTGATTGGATGCTGGATGCAGTTCCTTGTTCAACAATCGATGACCGATATGCAAATGCCGCCGATTGAGATCCTAAGATTTTTCTTACAATTTCATGTTATCCAAGTGCTTCTCCTAATGCAGTTTGTAAAGGTGGTCAATTGCAAACTTTTAGTTGTGCTGCTACTACAATCTCATTTTCTGTTTTCTTGGTTTTTCTAGCATTTATATTAGGAAGTTTTGCTATAGTTTTTTGTGACATGTTTGATGGTGTTGTGTTGTTTCTGCAGGAATTCAAGATTGTATTTCCAAATGCACAAGGAATGAACTGCGGTGATCAGGTTGGTTCATCCTTCGCAGCTCTGGCAATTAAATGTCTGTTTTTCTTTCTGTTTCTTTTCACCTTTCAGTCTTACTCATTTATATGAGATACTCTAAAATTGCTTTCAGTATAAATTTTGTAATTGTCTCAAAAGAGGTAATAAAACATATTTGTGGACTGAGTTTATGTATTCAGTGTCGGGAATATTTTTCTATGCATGTTACTGAACTTTTGATAGATATCATTGGTAAGTTTCAAGACAATGTCAACTTAAGATGATTTTGTCTCTCTAAGGTCATAGCAGAAATAGTTTAAACATGCCTGGTACATGATTTTACGAATGTTACTTTAGTTCATGGCTTTGTTTTCTATATCTGGTAGTTAGTGGGTTAGAATGAAAAATGGTGTATTTATAGTTTTATACTTTGTTTTTCGCCATGCATATAGGATTCTCTGTTGCATTAAGTCTTAAACCATATGAATGTTCGACTCAAATAGATATCTTGCGGAAGTGAGCGTAATATCTTAATCCATACATGTAAGGGTATCAGGTTCGTAGGAGAATAATTTTATGTCCTTTTATAAGAACTAAATACTTACACTCTATGTGTTAATAAACTGGCACAAATTCTTAACCCTCTAAGACAAGACCTAATAGGACCCATCTTTTTAAATCATGCCAAGAAGTTAAAAGAAGCATTGTGGGTCAGCTAAGAAACCTGACTTTGAAGGCGGCGCCTTGCAGAGCTTGTTGATCTTGACGCGCTCAACTTTGGGGTGGATGTTGGTGCAGAGGTAGGTCACGGCGGCGGCATAGACCTCTTTCCAGGACATGCCATCGTGCTGCTCGATGACGATTGCAGCATGTTTTGGATGGGTGCAGAGGTGGCGTTCTAGGCGGGAATAATAAGGCAGAGTTGTCAGCAGCCGTGGATGCTGGGCGGCAGAGAAGGCCATGGCACTAGGTGTAGATAGCGACTGAAAGAATTGCACAATACGACGGTAAGGTTTCGTTCTCTTTTTTGGCAGCCTGCTTTTTTATCTCTACTTTTACATTCTTCGATTAGATTCGTGTGTGAGATGCGTGCAAGAAAGACTAAAACCGCTGTCACCTTTTAAATGACCGTAATGGCCTCAAAAGGCAGTGCAAAACTAGGGCATTTTAGTCAAACTAGACTGCAACAGACACGAGGCGGTTTTCCAGGAACCGAGGTTCACAGGAGCAGATGGCATCACTGCTTTACAGTGGGGTTAGAATTACATTCTCCTGAACTTCCAGTTCACTTTAGTATTGTTCATGTGTGCAACTGAAGGCCGCTGTGGTGTTTCCGATTTTTTCTGGCTTGATGATGAGAAAAGCATACTAAACTTTTGACGTTAACCAAATTGAGTATGATAGTTGTGTGTGTGTAAATGAATTATTTACTTCAGATGAATGATACACTTAATTATGTGTTATTAGACCTTTTTTTTTTCTTAATACTTTCTTTAATCCTTTGTTGAGATCATAACTCACAGACAATAATCATCATGATAATATCTTTTTAGTATCTCATAAACTTTTAGATTATCTATATATATATAATTACTGGCTATTAGCATTTAATAAAACTTATTTAATTTTCCCTATGTCGTAATATAACCATTTCCCTCCAAAAGTCGTTACTTTTAGTTTATTTAACCTTTCATTTAATTAATAGATATTTAACACACTAATCACTTCAAAATTACAAAAATCATTTTAAACTTTTGATTACTGATAGTTGACCATATAATGTGTTGACCGTATAATGTGATTAGATGTTACTATTGTAGTTACATTTAAATTATTATTTTTTTTTGAAAAATAAAACATATATTTGAAATTCCTAAATAAATAATAAAATAATTAAAAAAATACATACCAAAATATATGTTTCATCCAATCTGATAAACACAATTTAATAAAATAAATTATACCAGTTATTTTAATTGTAAATTTGGCCTACAAAAAAAGTGAAAGCAAAATCATTAATCATTATATGGATACAAATGACTCACAATACTGTATTTACATTTGTGCAAATGCACAGGGTCAAATACTAGTGTGGATCAATCAAATCATATATTTATTTGGGTTTGACTTAGCATCTAATGGAAAAATAAGCTCCGATACAAACCAAGACTATACACTACCACTACCAAAATTATTGTTATAATCATTTGGATTTCTTTGAGTTGAGTCGGCAAACATATTCTCTTCCTTGCTTTTACAACAACAACAACAACATTTTGTGGAGTATATGATTAGAGATAAGAAGAAACTTATCAAATTATTTAAGTATTGCATGCATATGATTTGCTTGAATTCTGCTGCATGGGTAATTTTAATTGTTCCTTGATGCAAAAATTGAAGATTACAGATAAAAGAGTGTGAATATTCACATACATCAAAGTAATGGTAGGGTAAGCCTGACGACCATCCAGGGTTTAAGGAGTTTAGCTACAACAAAATCCTCAAGGACCTAAAGAAAGAAATTGGAGTTCTATTATGCTCAAGCATATTGAATGTTATTCTTCAAATATTCAACTATAGATTGAGTTTATTTTGCTTATCATGTTCAACGATAATCTTAAATTATTTTGTGATATGGAAGTTGGTTGCTTGGGGAAATGTTGGTTCATTTTTAACTTTCTTAAAAGTTTATATTTTTTCTTTTGTTCAGCCTGAAAGTTACCAGATAAATGTCCTTGTGTAGTTTCTAGGATGAATGTAGACGTCACAAGAGAATATGTAGGAGTATTCCTCCTAAGGTTGCTGATTCAAATGGCCGGAAGAAAGAAATGGTATGTCATTAAAAAATGATTTGCTTTCCTCATTCTGCTCCTTTGTTGCCATCAGGTTGAGATATTTTGAACGGTGGTTACGTGAATATAGTTTGAGCTATCAAATCTTAATGTCGAAGTCCAGTAAATCTGATGAAAACTAACTTTCATTTATTATTTTTTCTTTCTTTTTTTGTGTGTGTGTTGTTGAACTATGTTAAATGTGCAATTACACATTTATTCTCATTTTTTGGGTGTACTTACATTATTAGCAATTCCATAGTTTGTTATATTTGTTGAGTAAGGTTGTCAAGGACATTACAATTTATACGAGATTTGGGATTTTATTTCGACTTGAATTATTTAATTGTTGTTAGCATTTTGAATGTAGGTGATATAATTAAATGATTTATAAAGTCAAAATTATTTTGAAATGCAGTGCTAGCAAAAATAATTCTTTGGGAATTTAGTGGCTAAAGATTTTCATAATATAATGTTCACTTGTTGTGCAACAAAAACTAAATCACACACTGCACCAATAAAAACTATTCACTAAATTGGAGATGAATTCGATTGATCACTTGTAATGACAAAATTTCACTATATTTTAAACTAAATTTGAGTCCGCCGTGAGTGCACGGTGTGAGACAACTAGTCTATATATATATAAGAATTACCATTTACCAAAAATAGCAAAAAAATAGGTCAAAATTTAATGCAGCCTATATATAGTAAGTTTTATTATTTTTCTTATTTTTTTCTTTAAAAATCATACATCATTAAATGCTACCTTAAATTTCGGGCTTTAGTTCATTTTATTATTTAAAAAATCCGGCTAAGATTTATTAAGTGTGTATGTTTTTGTTTTTATTCTTTAAATTGCATAATCAATCAATTAATCTTAATTTTTTTGAAAATTACTATGTTCATTTTTTTATTAATATACATAAAGTAAAAATAATTAATTCATCTTTAGATATATAATTTATAACCTTAATATACTTCATTTGGTATAGACATTTATTATATGAATCATAAAATATTTTTATTTCATAAAATTAAATATATTTAAAGAAAATAAGAAAATTTCTTCGGATCAATCGGGTGATTGAATTAGGGTACTGCCCATGTTGATTGAATTATTTTTAGGTGATATTTAAAATAGTCAAAAAACTTGACACAACTTGGTTGGTCCCAGGTGACTAAGTTATGTATTACTTCGACCACACCAAATCGATTATTGAACCTAAATATAAATTTTATATTGAAAATATGTTATTACGTGTGTGATGTAGTCTAAATTTTAAATAATCGTATTAACAATACTTTTATGACAATATGTTTAATGATTTAAGAATATTTATACATCATTTTATTAATATTTATGTGAACTAAATAATATTTTATTATAATATTTATTAGTGTACAGTAAATATAAGGTTTTCAGAACTGGACCGTCATCGAAACGATCAAGCTATTTTATTAAATCATTTGTGGTTTGTTCAGATTTTAATTTATAAACATTTTAATATATATATATATAGTACTTTTGTAATAAATTTAAATAAAATGTGTTACTAAGATATCTAAACAATTTATAAATTCAAATGTTTAAACTAACTGATAAATAATTTATAAATCTCTATTTTATTTAAATATGTAATTTTATTTAAAATAATTTTAAATATAACAAAATTTATTTAGAAAATCGTGTTGATCCTACCAGTCCAACCGACTGGTGTTGACGGATTCGAGAGTAAATATTTTATTCAAGCAAACTAGACTGGTTATAAACCGATTCTTAGTCCATCCGGTCGGACTATGTCCAAACCAGTTTAATTTACAAACAATGGATAAATTATGATTAATATTATTTATATATTAAATTTATAATACAATCGTAATATTGTTTTGTCGTGCATCGCACGGGCCATGCACTAGTTCTATTGAAAAGAGAAGTTTACATCCCAGGACCAAAGCTCCAATGACTCAAGATAAAGCAACAACAGAGATCATTCACAGATGATCTTAACCAATACACCAAAAAATGTTTAGCTAGTTACAGGCAAAGATAACTTGAAACCCATAACTGCCAATGAAAATAACCAACTGAATACAAATGAAGACACACAAGAAATAATAAAAGAACAGTACATCAGAAAAACATAGTTACCACTGAACCATTAGGACCTAGCAACCTGTCATTTCTTCATTGTTCTTCTCATGCAACTCTGCATTGTGTGAATTCCATTCAATCCCCAAGAGCAGAAGTGATCACTGAAGCCTTTGGCATTTTAATGGTTTGGAATTTGCAGAGATTTCTGGACTTCCATAGCCACCATAAAATGTACGTTGTAAGATATATTCTTTCCTCATATACACTTCTTTTGTCAACCGAGCAAACATCCCACCACCAATGCTTAAACTGCTCAGTCCCTCTCAGTTCCTGCCAACAAACTGGTGCCAATTTCCAGATTTTTTGAGCCCTTTCACATTGAAACATAGCATGCTCCACAGTCTCGTTTTCCTCCCCCACACCATTGGCATCTAGGATCTATATCCAGTCCTCTCTTTCTCAGATTCAAACTCACAGGTAGGGTGTTTGTATAACATTTCCAAAGAAAATGTTTCAGCTTCTGTTTAATTTTAAGCCCCAACTTCTTGCCCTGATCTTCTTTTCAATCTTGGCACTTTCACTACCCTCTGCAACATCCAATTCTCTCAACTTAGTCAGAATCAAGGCAGCATATGAGCTAGAGACAGAAAATTTGCCATTTACATCCAAGTCCCACCACCATTTATCAGTCAATAAAGGATCCAGAGTGTTAATTTTCAGAATGGCCTCTATATCTTCTTGGAAAAAGCATTCTTCTAGCAATTCAATGTTCCAGTGTCTACCATCTTCCTCTAACAGCTCATAGACCCTTGTAACTGTCATTAGACCCCCATCATTTCTTCTAGGCAAACCATCTGAAGCCTCTGGAATCCAAAGGTCATTCCAGATGTGTCCATATCTCTCATTCCTCACCTTCACCCTAAAAAATGCTTTCTGAATTTATCTATCACCAGCAACCAATTGCTCCATAGCCAAGATACATTATAAGATTTTTTAGCATGAAGCACAGAACACTCAGGAAAGTACTTTCCTTTCAGCACCTTATTAACAAGCAGATTTGGATGAGTCACTAACTTCCATATTTGTTTTAAAATGAGGGCCTCATTGAATAATTCAACATCTCTAAATCCCAACCCTCCAGCATCCTTTGGTATAGTAATGTGTTTCCAAGATTTCCAGTGCGCCCCTGACTGTTGTTCCCCCTTGCTCCACCAGAATGCAGCTGATAGTCTAGAGATCTCTTTGCAAATTCTCTTTGGTAAGCAAAAGCATGACATGGAAAAAACTAGCAAAGCCCCCAAAACAGCATTCATTAACACCTCTTTTCCAGCACAAGAAAGGAACTGATTTTTCCAACTAACAAGTCTGGAGCTCACAGCTTCAAGAACAAACTCAAAAGATTCCTTCTTAGATCTACCAATTTCTAGGGGAAGTCCTAGGTATCTGGTAGATCTATGCACTTGAATCTCATCAAAACTTTGGCAAATCCTACCTTGAAGATCAGACAGAACATTCTTGCTGAAAAAAATTGTGGACTTTCCCAGATTTATTTTATGCCCTGTGAATTTCTGGTACTTTGAGAGAATATCC